TGCGGTGTCGCCCTGCAGGCGGGATGACGGGCAGAGACTCACGTTCCCGACACAGCACAAGGCGAGTGTGTGTGAGTGACAGGAGGTGGCGAGGGTGTCCTGTCCTCTCTTCTGGCCCAGGGACAACTCTGGATGCCCGTCGGCCGCTGCTGTGGGGAAGAGCAGTTGGCCAGGGCTAAGTCCTGAGCGCTGTGATGTGCGGATGCGCGGCCCTCAGGACGCCTCCCTCGGCACCCCTGTCCGCCCGTGCTTCTGAGGGGCTTTGGGCCTGGGCGGAAGGCTGGCTGCGCATGCTGAGTCCTCTCTGTGCAGTTAGCCACGGTCAGGACCTCACAGAGGGGCCGCTAGAGGGGTGGGCAGCCTCCTTCCCGCCCCTTCTCAGAAGGGAGCCCAGGCTTTAAAATTAAATCCGTCCTGTCCAAAAGAGGGGACAGAGGTACCCAGAACCCAAACGCTGCCACCCCGACAGCTTGGGCTCCGCACCCACAGGGCCCCCCTGTGCCCACCCCAGCGCCCCCAGGCCTGGACACAGCCCTCTTAATGACCCCATGGCAGCCCAGCAATTCACTCTGCCATAGCCTGTCAATGCCCACTCTGGGAAGCGCTCACTGCCAGGCAGGGTGCCCAGTTGGTGTGCAGCAGACGGCACGGTGGGGCTCCCCGAGTCTGACCGAGGAAGCACGTCCGGGTGTGCCCAGGAGCCAGCCCTCTGCGTCCACACCCACACCCTCTGCTCTGTAGAGGAGGGGAAGACTGGAGCCCGAGAGCCTGCGACCTGTCACCTCACACGGGCAGGGGCGTTCACGCTCCAACCCCGGGCGTCCTCACGGGGGCGGCTGAGGTAGTGCACACACGCCCAGGCACGCACACATGCACAGCATACACCGACAGGGCCCAGGACTCTGCGGGCCAGCTGGCGTTCGCAGTGGTGCTGGTCACTCGGTCACTGCTTCATGAGGGTGCCAGGGTCTCGGGTGCGGCCCAGCCAGTGCTCACACCTCAGAGCGGAGGTTCTGCCCCGGGATCCACTCCTGGTGCTGCCCTTGGCGCTGACTGCAGGGGCTTTGGCCACAGCCCCCGAGGACCCAGGCAAGGGAGGCTTGGACTGAGGTGCCATTAGGCCCACCTTCTCTCAGGACTCCGCATCAAGTGTGTTTCAAACTCAGAGAAGGAAGGAGCAGACCGCAGAGACCCATGCAGCAGGTGACGACCGTCCCAGCACAGACAGGCCCCACGAGCCGAGGCCAGAACCGGCGCCATCCCCTCCCCGAAACGAGTCCGCACAGTCGCCCCGAGAGGAGCTGTGACCTCCGGGGCTGACGTGTCTGCACAGCCGCTTTCTCCCCGCTCACTGGTTCTGGGGCCATTGCATCCCTGAGGGCCGGACGCAGAGGTGGCGCTGTCTCCCCGCCCTCTGCTGCACAGCTCAGCATGGAGAAGCCACGGTGAGGGGTCACGCGTCCTCCAGGTGAGGGGTCACGCGTCCTCCAGGCCTGGCAGGCTGCGGCCTCGGTGACTCAGTGCAGACACAGGAGCAGCAGCAAGGTTCCCGCAGGGTGCACAGCGGGAGACCCCAGGTGCAGCCTGGTGGCCGGCCCCATGGAGAAGCAGGTGCGTGGAGCCCCTGGGCACAGCGGTCTTTCTCCAGCCTCTCATCCCACTCGACCTCTTGTTGCCTTGAAGAAAGGGTGAACTGTCTCTGAGCCTCAGTTTCCTCATCTGCAAGATGGGGGCAGCACTGCCTTCCTGTGCCTGCAGGGCGTCCTGTGCAGCCACAGTGTTGGGAATGGGGACAGGCCCAGGAAGGTCTGAGCTAAGCCACGGTGAAGTGTGTGATCTGCACTTAAACCGGAGGAGGAATTTTCCGTGACATTTGTTGGTTTTATCTAACGCATCCAGGGACGTTTCCTAGGGAATCCCAGGGGGTTTTCATTTTCTCTGGAAGACTGAGAGAGAAATTACAAGATCAAAAGCAAATACGTAAAGAAGAGCATTAGCCAAATGCGCTCGGCGAGGCCGGTGGCGGCAGGCTCCCTCCGTCTGTGGCTCTCTGGTAACAAGGGACGAGTGAGCCGCGAAGGGCTGTCACAAGAGGATTCTGACGAGCCAGAACAACACAGAAGCCCATCCCTCCCCCAAACTGGGGTAAAAGCCTCACACTGCTGGGCAGCGTCACAGGAACATGCCCTCCGGACGCAGGGACCTGCAGCCGACCCGACACACCGGTCCCCACCCCCTCAAGCGTGTTCAACCTTGCAGAAAGACGTAGCCTCCAAAATGAGACAGGAAGCAGAGGAAGGAAGCAAAGACAGGAAATAGACTAAGACATACTGGGAGGCACTAATGGCTCAGACCTACCGAAGCCAGCCAAGACCTTGCCTCTGAGCTTCCCAGTGGCCAGTGTGAAGAGGGAAACAATCCGTAAAGACGGACAGAAGGACAAATGGACTTCTGAGGGAGAAGGGTTTCCATCCTAGGACCCCAGGCATTTCTTCCGTGGGTCTGGCCCCTTCATGCTCCTGCACCCATTCTATAGTAAGACAAGTATTAGTGAACCTGTGTGCTGAGGAGTTTAAACCACCACTGCACAGAGTTCCATGGGACGCGTTCACACATGCAGTTCCACTGCTCTTCTAGCATCTCCTCGCTCAGAGGAGCACCCGCTTGAGCTTAACTTTGAAAGAAAGGTGCAGCCCAGGAAGGGGGTTCAGGAATGGGCACTGTCCTCACACACCTCCTTTCTCCTGGGGCACCCCAGATGCCCCGTGTCCAGGTCCTCTCTCCGGTAAGCATTCTCCCAGGCTGGACCAGTCCCTCAAAGCCCCGGAGCTCCCAATGTCTCACTGCCTTCCAACAGCGACAGTGCAGACTCGGACACAAGCAGTGACCCCGCTCCAGGTGCACGTGGGAGTCCCGGGCCCACGGGTCTCCCCAGCAGAGGACCTGTGGGAACCAGGGGTCAGGAGGCATCTTGTCACACAGCTCTGAGCATTCTCGAGACTGGACACCCTGGGTCTGACCGGTAGTGGCAGATGGGAACTTCCAAACCGCCAGGAAAGTCTGGAGAAGCCCACCGTTCCCACCAGGCTTTGCGGCAGAGGTGCCTGTCAGGCAGCACCTTGAATCTCCACAAGGTGCCTTCCATGGAGGACATTTGTCACCTCCCAGATCCTGGGCTCCTGTGGACAGGGACTCTCTGCTCCTGCATGGGCAACTCAGACGCTGTGAATTCTTCTGCAGGCAGCCCCCGAAAGCTTGCAAAGCTGTCACCAAAGCTCTGCGCCTGCTCCGTACAAAATACAGCATCGTTATTACAAACCCTCCCGCTGCTGTCCAAATCCACTAGGTTTATTAGAAATCTACTGTTAGAGAACAAAGGGGCTTATTCACGTATTTTGTGTTAATCTCTTGGCAATCACGAGACTGTCATTTTTATCTTTGTCAGTGACAACTGGGTGTCAGAATTGATTGATCCACTCAGTTTGTGGCTGATTTTAATTTGTTTACCATTGGGGCGAACGGTACAGTAAAAGCAGTCTGGCATTTTCCTTTCATTTGAAAACAAAGTACTCTTTCCCCCCTTGGTGGGGGGATATCTCCGGGAGGCTGCAGGCCACCCCATGCCACGGCTGACCTTGCCCATCAGAGCAACCAGGGTCCCTGCAGCCCTGGGGCCCGAGCCACCCCTCCCTGTTGGCCAGACAGGGGAGAAATGCCTGGTTTTGTCACATCTCAAACACTTTTATACTAATGCCACAAGTGGGAGGTACCAGGAGCTGGGGATCTATCTAAAGTGAAGTATTTGAGACAAGGAAGCATACGTGTTATTTATTATTTCAAGACAAGCAACAATAAAAGGTGAACGCAAGGGAAAAGCACTTTATCAGGCATAATAGTGAGTAGCTTTTTTTAGTTTTTTGGAATAAATAGTAATTAAATCATGTAAGCTGTGACAGTGGAATTGCTTTAAAAAAACCAATCCTCCCACCATAATTGCCTGGATACCCACATTTTTATAAATACTAGGTAACTTTATCCATCGTTTGTATCAGCAGAATGTGACACTGGCTTCATAATTTACCACGGCACCAGCCGACAGTTGCAACAGCGCATGTATAAAAAATATACTAATGTACTGCAAATGACTGCGCAGCTTTGGAGATGTGTTTTTCTGCAGGGGGATTACCAGTGGCCCTGGCGCTGGAGCCACGGGGAGGGAGGTGGCAATTTGGTTGTCTAATTAATGTTTTGGAAGCAAAGCAAATAGCAGCTCCCCGCAGTGTCAACACACTGTCTGCCTCGACTCTTGTTTGCAGCTAACCGAGGAGGCCTGGGCTGGGCCGGGGTGTCAGGTCCTTGCTAGGTAACAAGGACCAGCTGAGCATGGTGGGGCAGGTCCGTCTTCCCCACACTCTTGGAGGCTGAGGCAGGAGGATCACAAATTCAAGCCCAGCCTGGGCACCTTAACAAGACCCTGCCTTAAAATATAAAATACAGAAGAGAACTGGGGATGTGGCTTAGTGCAAACGCCCTGGGTTCGATCCCCAGTGCTGCAAAAAAGACTAGAAATTCTGCTGCTCTGAGTTCCACTCCCAAAACTGACTTGCCACTGGGGACAGTCTTTAAAGGCCAACTTCTTTCGATCCCTTTGCTGCGCTTAGTCTTCTTGCATGGAAAAACCCATCCATTAGGGCCTCACAGACAGGCGGGGGTTGCATGGCGGGAGCAGGAAAGGAGGCAGCATTTCCTAGGTAGAGAGCGGAGCGGCTGGGTGCAAAGGGAAGGGCAGGAGGGGGAGACGCTTCCGCAGAGACAGAGCAGTCGCACCTGGAGAACATGCGCATCAAGGCCTCTTCCCCCTTCTCCCCTCCACTCTGCACGGCCTCTGGCTAATTCCCACCGCCTTCCCAGACACCATTACCTGCCCGGTGCTTGCTGGAGACCCAGAAGGCTGCGTTTTGTGACCGCCCTCCTGACTGTGTCCTCCTCTCCTCTTGCAGTTAAGTTCAGCAGCTGTTTGGGGACCAAGGGGACGCAGTATGAGACCAACAGCTTGGACTTCAAAGTCGGGGCAGACGGGACAGTCTTCGCCACTCGGGAGCTGCAGATCCCTTCCGAGCAGGTGGCCTTCACGGTGACAGCAAAGGACCACCAGACCGCCAAGCAGTGGGACACCATGGTGCGGCTGCTGGTGACCCAGACCTGGTCCTCGCACTCTGGACACAAGGTAAGGGTGGTGGAATCTGTGCCCGGGACCAAGAGTCCCACTCCCCCGAAGGCCTGGTGGGAACCCTGCCAGGCTCCCTGAGCATGAGGCTCACCAGCTCTGTGCCAGAGAAGGCCACATGCCTTGGCCTTTGCATTCTCCTGTGCTCATGGCCACCACGAGCAGGCCCCCTGGATGGCATGCAGGGATCTATGTAGTTTTTGAACCAAGCTGCTCCATTTCCACTTCAAATCGGACGCCACAGACTGCAGCTGATGACTGCGCTCACCAGCCAGGCCCTCACGTCCCGGGGAAATGACAAGCAAGACAGAAACTGCAGGCTGGCAGAGTCACTGGAGGAGCTGGGGCGAGACCAGTGCAGAGGCGTGGAGGGAGGAAGAGATAGACAGGCGGAGAGGGGTGAGAAGAGGGAGACACAGAAAGGAAAGAAGAAGGAGGGAAACACAGGGAGACGGGAGAGAGGGAGAAGGGAGGGCTCCACACAGACACCAGCAGTTGGTGCTGCCTAGCCTTGCAGCCACACACACATACACACACATATGCACGCGCGCACACACACACACACACGCACACACACACTCACCCCACCTCACTTCCCTCCAGCCAGCCCCATGGCCTGTGCAGGGGACTGCACAGAGGGAGTGACGGTGGTGACTTCGCCTGCCCGGTCCTGAGAGCTCCCTTGTCCACTCTGTTCCTTCCATCCAGGGCCAGACCCCGCGGCAACCTCCGCGCACCCCCCAGATCCTACCTGTTGGGTTTCTGTGTGCAATAGGCGGTGAGCCCCTCCCACCCTATCCACCCTCTGCCAGACCTCAAGTTTCAGCAGCTGCATTGCTCGGAGTATGGGGGCTTCAGGCTGACGGGGAGGAGCAAGTGCTGGGCCTGGGGCAGGGGACACTGAGAAAGCCAGCAGGGAGGAGGGAGGCGCTGAGTCCTTCAACCCCTGAGGTTTCTCTGAAGCCGGTGGGGTGGTTAACATGAGCCAGCACAGGGCCAGACAGCACTCTTCCCCGGGAAGAGGAGGGTTAAACACAGCTGAACAGATCCCTCAGCACAGCTGCCCAGAAGCTGCCCTGACCGAAGGTGACTTGTGAGCCTCTGATGAGGAGACTTTCTGCAAGTTTCCCCAAACCTATCTGACCAAGGAAGTCCTCTTCATGGAACAGTTTTAAGACAAGTATGCCACGGAACCCACTTGGGGAAAGCAAGGACTTGTGTACCATCTTATGTACGGAGTCGAAGTAGAGATGTTTTCACGAAAGGGGAAAGCCGGGATGTGGGAGGAAGTCTTCACCACTAGTCTGAGTGGGTCCCACTGTGGAAGGAGACCCTGTGTGTCCTCCCGGGCGTGTGAGCCAGGAACCAAACCACGTCTCCAGCCGTGGGGCCCTGCTCAGCGTGCGCCCCCTCGCATGCTGACGGCTCAGGCAGGCAGAAGTCATCATTCGCTCCCACCTGTGTGATCAGCCCAAGCCACGCCCTGATCAGAAGGCAATGACAAGGCAGGCCCCATGGCAGCCAGGGTATCTGTGCCTGCTGGGGATCCTTGCCCTCTATATCCAGCCCTGGGTGCCGGCGGGCAGGTGATTACCCACTGCTCACCCCTGTGACTTGGTGGCTAAGCTGCCCTCGGTCCCTGATTGTGATGCAGAAACTCTGCAGCTTGTGAGCAGAGGGCAGAGCTCCTTACAGTCCAGAAGGCCTCAGAAAAAAAGCACTAATTGAAAATATAATGACACCTTTTGTTTGGCATGTTAATGAAACAATTTCTGATGCAATTAATCCCCGGGCTTCCTGGAAGGTGCAGGTGCTGATGCTGATTGCAATTAGGCGGCGTCCAGGTTGGGGGTCCTGCAGCCCCACATCGGGCCTGGACACACCCACCTGGTAGGGCAAGAGACAACTCATGTCCCAGGCTCAGGGCATGTAGTGGGCCGTCAACCCCAAGTCCACGAGATGTGACCCTACAGGGGACGGGCAGCCTTGCCCGCCCATCAGACTCAGTCCTCCTCCGCTGAATTCACATTTCTCTCGCTGATGCTCCTCCCACCCCGACTGTCTTCCTTCTTTCTTTCCGTACTGAGGATTGAACCAAAGGCCTTCATTCTGAGCTATATTCCCAGCTCTTTTTTATTTCTTATTTTGAGACAAGATTTCTCTAAGTCACTAAATATGCCAGGCAGGGCTGGACCTTGTGGTCCTCCTGCCGCAGCCACCCAGAGGGCTGGGATTATAGGTCTGTGCCACTCTGCCAGGTTTCCATCTTCCTTTATATACAATGTCCAGCACACAACTGAAAATGACTGGGCACAGAGAAGGAAGAGGACAACGTAAGTCCAAATCAGGAGAAACAGCAGATGATTTTCAGAAACCTCCCCTGGGGGCTGCAGGTAATGGAGTTATCAGACATGGATGTTATAATCACTGTGCTTACTATGTTTAAGCAAGTTAGATATGAGATTCTGACAGAAGGTATTCAAGAAGATGTAGAAAAGAATGAATGGGGCAATTTAGAGCTGAGAAACATGACAAGCAAAATTAAGAGCTCAATGGGTAAATACATTGGCAGGTCAGAAAAAAATTGAGGAAGGAATTATGGAAGCAAAAGGGTAGAAGAAGGTATGCATGAGGAAAGCACAAAAGACAGGGCAAGAGCTGCTGAAGAAATATAAAGAAGGTCTAACGCATGTACATTTGGAGTATGAGAGGGGACTAAACGCAGCAGTAGTAATGTTTCAAAAGACAATGGCAGAAAAATCTTCCAAAAGTTGCAGCAGATATCCAGACACAAGAAGCCTTAGAACTGGATAAATATAAAGAAAGTTGTACCCCAACACTTTACTATAAAAGACTGAAATCAGAAGTCAAAGAGAAAATCCTGGCATCAACTGGAAAAAAAGACAGAGTCCCTATGAAGTGTCGGGCGGAGGCCTGGCGCCTCCCAGGAATTTATGGGGGTTGGGAGCCCAGGGCACGATGTTTCTAAAGTGCTAAAGGAAAATAGGATTGTATTACTCACACTCTTGGAAAGTAGCCTCCACGAAGTAGAGCTGAATTTTTCAAAAATTCAAAAGCTATAAGAATCTGCCACAAATTGTGTTCTTTAGTCAAAAGACAAGTTGAGGTGAAATACCAGAACTGGAGGACAAATGGAAGGCTAAGAAGACAGAAGAGTGTGACGGAATCCCAGCAGCATGGTGTTTCCTGGGGTGTGAGTTAGAAGATTCAAGTGCGCAGCAAGAACGGCAGGAGCTCCGGGGCGGGTGGGCGCAGCCGAAGGGATGTGAGATGTGTAGCTCCAGAAGATGACGGGAACACTGCAGCTACACAGGCTGAGAACCTAACCCAAGATGCGCAGAGCCTGCTGTGCCTCCATCGCAGACTTTCCAGACTTTGGAATATTCACATATACATAATGAGATACTTGGAAATAGGACGCTAGTCCAAACACAGAGTTCATTTATGCTTTACGCATACCTGTGCACATCACTGGAAGGTCGTATTACGCAGTGTTTTGTACTGTGACGCGTCGCATGAGGTCAGGTGCGGAGCGTTCTGCCTATGGCAGCACGGTGATGCTCAGACTTTCAGATTTTGAATCATTTCTGATTTTTTATTTTTGGATGAGGAACAACCAACCTGTATACACTGATAAGACAAAGATATTTGTTATAAGTCCTTTGAAAAGTCCCTGAACAACTCATAAGGTCGTATGAGTTCTAAAATAATAAATGAAAAAAAATAGAATAATAAAAATTATCAGTCCAAGCAAAGCAAGAAAAGGTCAAGGAAAATATAGAATAAGTGAACTATATATTTCTCATTGAGGAGGGTGGCAGATTTGCAAATATATCAGTAAATATAATAGCATGTAATCAAGAAAAAAAATCCAACCATATTCAGTTTACTCTTACACCCAAAAAATGTAAGAATAGGGAAAAGTCCAAAGTAAAATCACAGGGAAAAAATACCACAGAAAAAATACAATCAGAAGAAAGCGGGGGTGCCTCTGTTGACATCAGATAGAGACCTGAGAAAAACAGCTGGTGTGAAAAGGGATGCTTCATAGTGCAAAAAATGGCCAATCCACCCCAGAGACAAGAATCCCGAATTTGTGGGCACTTATGTGACTTCAAATTTTTCATGCTGAAGCTGATAGAGGTGAAAGAGAAATACTATAAGGAACAAACAGGTACGTAATCAATGGTGAATTTTAACCAGTGTCAGTCTGTAAGTAATAGAACAAGCCAACAAAGTATCAGCAAGGAAATAGAACCACACTACAGTGTGTCTGACCTTACAGCAACATGTATAAAACACAGACGCTAATCAATACTGTGCCAGGGGCTGGGGATTTAGCTCAGCGGCAAAGCGCCTGCCTGGCAAGCGCAAGGTCGTGAGTTCGGTTCCCGGTACCGGAGAAAAGCCAAAAAAAAAAAAAAAAAATACTGTGCCAAGTACACAGCATTTGAAAGTACCATTTTCAGATATGAACCAAGCAAAATCTCAACATGTCTCATAGATTTAAAATCAAAACATAGTTTGTTTTCTTACCTCAGAGTAATTAAGCTAAGAATCAATAACAAAAAAGATAACTGGAAAATATCTGTAGACTCAGAAGTCAAATAAAAACCTTTATTAACCCTGGGGTGGAAATCATATAGAAAAAATATTTTAAATTGAATAATAAAACTATAGGGATGTAGCTAAAGCCATGCCCGGGTGGAAATAATTTTCCTTAGATTAATGTATGATAAGATAAAGAAGGGAGAAAGGCAGAGATCTAAGCATTCATCTTAAGAAAATACAAAAGGAACAGGAAATGAAGCCTCAAAAAGTAGGAAAAAAGGAAGAGTGGGAGGAGAACACAGAGAAATATGAAATAATGGAATCAATGACGAAAGCCCATTCTTTAGACAACAAAACTGATTGGCCTGAGTAAAAAAAGGATAAAACTACAAATAACCATCTCAGGAACAGAAAGAGGACACTGGGAA